CCCCAGCTCGTATCTTAGCACACGCCTCCACAGTCAACATTTACTGTGGTGCTTCAACTTCTCTTAACACAATTACTTCCTTTTTTCTGGATGGCTGCATTTTCTGGCCTTGAGTCTGGCACAGATTATGCTATTTTAACCAATTTGTGATAAAGGCTAGGGAGGAAGGGAAGGCATCATATCTAGTATAGGAATCTGCGCATATACACATAGCATGGGCTACATGAAAACACCATGTGATTAATAATCTGATTTTTTTTTTTAGCTAAAACTCTTGCTTTGAACTGAGAGTCCTACCCCAGTGATGCCTGAAGAAGTGTTGTACATTGATACCATCAGAAAAACAGGATGCTTTTTGCAGGCTCAGGAAAATAGGATATACAGTCAAGATAACCAACAATGCAACAATCTCTGGAGACATGACAGAGACTGGGGCACCAAATGTGATGGCCATTGTGGTCGAAGGGTCTTTTATGGCTAACTGTAAAATACCCCTATTCTCTCAGATCGCCAGCTTTCTGACATTAAAGTGCATATTACAGGGCCCTCCCTGGTGGTGCAAGGGGTTAAAGTGCAGCACTATGAAGCTATCTACAGCCACTGCAGCATGAGTTCAATCCCTGGCCAGGGAGGTGACGCACATGGTGTGGTAGACTTCTCCTGTCTCTCCCACTGCTCCTCTCAACAGTGTATTTCAGTTAATCTGCCTGTTCTGCTCCCCATTCTGTCTCTGGTGAATCCTCTCACCTCCCATGCCTCTAGCCTATACACTAGTATGCATAAACAAATAAATCTTTTTTAAAAAGTGCATATTACAGATTCTATGCCTGTCTCTGTTCAGTTGACTTCTGGTAGTGACATACAGCAGCATCTGACATTTTCCAGTCACATTAGTTTTTAGCAGTTTCTTACATCTTCTATTGGTGTCGTGATCTGGCATCACTCACATTTCTGAAATATTTGAATTTCCTGTTTCTCTTTGGCCTTTTGTAACTGGGGTGCCTTCTCCTTCTTTGCCTGACTAACTCTTATACACCATCGATACCAATGTTTTCATCAGTAACTCTTTCCTGATTGCAGTTCCTTCACCTCAGTTCTGGGTTATTCCTCCTATATATACTCACATTACAATCACTTGTCAGTGGACATTTTAAGTAGTTATCAATCTCTTCCATTTACCCAAAAACTTGTAAAGTAGAAAGTAGGAGCACCATACCTAACATATGGAAGTTGTTTAATGAATAATACTCAGGCAATAAGTGAATGCATATCAACTTTGTGCAACAAAGAAGGATTCAGCAAGGATTTTCTGTGAAGAAGCAGATTGTAAATATTTTGGGGTTGTGGATCATAGGCTCTCAGTCACAAGGATTCAATTCTGAATACAGGCCGGAGCTGCAGGGGTAGCAAGAGGATTCACCAGAGATAGAGTGGGGAGCAGATTGACAAAATACAAGAGGAGAGGAGCAGCAGGCTGACAGGAGAGGTCTTCTCTGTGGGTGCGGGTCACCTCCGGAGCAGGGGGTGGAAGTGAGGGGTCGAACTTGCACTGAAGAGGCCGCGGCTTAGCTTCTCTGTGCAGCCTCCAACTCTCTGCCACCAGAGAGGGCCCCAAATAAATAAATCTTAAAATAAAATTATTTGTGTTGGAGAATTTTTTAACCTTACAATTTAATCCACCCCCCACAATTCAAAAAACTTTGCTTTTGTCCATCAGACATAAGTCAGAGCACATCCCACTTCCAATGAACCAGTCCAGGTGTGGTTGAGCTTTCATGCTGCATATGTGTAGAGCTGTGGAACACTCCAGAGAAATCTATGAAATGAGAGAATGAGAGCAATTTCCCCCCACATGTGAGAGGATGAGAGCATATTTCCTCCAGAAATATTAAGATATTAGTTATCACAAAAACACAATTGAGAAGTTTCATTTTTAATATCAATATATGAAATATATGC